TTAAAACTACTTATTAAAACTACTTATTAAAACTACTTATTAAAACTCAGTAAAAAGAAATGGGTCCTGCAGAAAAACGCTCCGATGCCACATTCAGTGAAAATGTACAAGAAGTGGAACTTTTATTTAATGACTTGAACAAATGTAGTCAGTCTTGGTTTCTGATCATTATTCCAAAGAACGTCACTTTTCAACATCTACTTGTTTTTAGGAGTGACTCACTTTTGAAGCAAAAGTTATTTTAAGTCAAGCTTGTGTACAAAACTTGAGCTGAAGTCAAACCTGTTGAATATCAGACAACATAAACTCTTTACATTCAACAGATGTCTGCTATATGGTTTTATGGAGCTCACTGTTTGTAGCAGCCCTTAAGAGACGTGTTCTTCCACTGTGCAGGGCACGGCAGGAGGAGATGATGAGAGGGAACTTCTGGTCTGGTCTGGATGTTTGTGAGAAGTGGGGACACACCACCGTGAGGAGGCTAGAGCCGAGATCAGATCCAAACACCAAATACAAACAAGTTGTTCCACTGAGGCACCGGCGGAGGACAGGAAGTGATCCACGTGGAAACCCTCAGATGAAGCAGCTCTTCTGTTCAACCATCCATGTGGTTACCTTTCTCTGACTGACTACATGTTTTAAATGTCCAGGAGCAGTTGAGGAAGCTGTGACTTAAACCAGAAGGTGGACTGTTAAATAATGTTAAATACAGAGTTTAAATCTTGTGCCTCATTTACCTCGAGTCTTATACGTTTTCTACAGTAATGTAACATGGTCATATGCTGGTGAAGATTCTCAGGTTTGAATTGAGAAAGCTCCTCGGATGAGGAGCAAAACATCTTCTGTTACAAATAAAGTCCAGTTGTTTTTGTATTGAACGTTTTTTGAATGTAACATGGTCATCAAATTAGTTTTTACTAGAATGGTTAAAATAAAACTGGACTCTGAGCCTGTCTTAAATCAAAATACATTTTTTTGAGTGATAATACATCCTTAAAAAGACAAAGTCAGAATGTTTTGAACATTTTATTTTATAACTTTACAAGCTTTGCTTCACAGAACCAGTTTACATTAGTGCTAATGAAGTGATGACACTACAAAATTTAATGTTCCACTACTGAATTAAAAAACAATACTGTCCAAATATTATTTTTTGTGAAGGATGACTGTAGTGTCAGGGTAGTCCTTGAAGTCTGCAGGTAGACTTTTACGTATCTGCTCTTCAGGTATCAAATCCTTTTACTGTAAATAAAAAGTTGATGTGATGATCCAGCTGACCGTGGACTGATGGACACTGTACCGGTCAGCAAGGTCCTGTACCTTGGATCAAAGGTCAAGGTAATTTAAGAACAGGAAGAACTCATCAATGGGCTGCAGGGTATTCATTTCATAGACCCTTTATTTATCCAGGTAGTCTCACTGAGTCACGAGAACTCATTTTCCGAGAGACCTGTTTTAGGGAGGAGATGAGGGTTGAGGGCCTTGCTCAGGGGACCAGAGTGGGGCGAATGAGGGTGGAGGCAGGTGTGGGTGTGTGAGTTACTACTTCTGAGGGAGTCCAAGCTGGGAGCCATGGAAGCTGGAGGCAGGCCTGGGGTCCGAGATGAGACCTGAGGCTCACAGCTAGCAACAGCTGTTTCACCGTTTCCACACACATTTTGATGTGGACGATACCGGAAGTTGAACCTGCAACTTTCTGATCACAGGCCCATCTTCTCAGGTGTGCAGTGGAGAGCATCCTGTGCTCGAGCATCAACGTGTGGCATGGAGGCTGCACAGCTGCAGAAAGAAAAGCTTTGCAGAGAGTGGTGAAGGCTGCACAGAAATCTGTTGGAGTCAGCCTCCCCACCATCACAGACATCT